CCCTAAAACCCCAAAACCCCAAAACCCCAAAACCCCTGGAGTGAATTATGATTAAATTACTTAGATAAATTAAATAAATTAGTTTTTAAAAGATATCTATTTATTTTTAAACCAAGTGATAAGATCACTTCCTTTGAATAGGTCTGATTGGGCTGACATTAGAATCTTAAGGCCTTCTAGTTATACTAGTTTCTTTTGTGTTTGAGTCTTTCTTTTTAAACATGTTGAAGATACCTTTTTTCGCCCTGTTCTTAAGATCGTCCTCAGTTTCATTTATTGCACTCACACTAGATGATCTCGTTCTTCTCCTATGATCTTACAGATCAATTTAAGCTTCCTTGGTCAAGCCCAAAACTGACATTATCACATCAAGCAGGGACTCATTATTCTTATCTGTTAGTGGACAGTTCTTGAGATATGTCACCAAAGTGACCTTGACATGATCTATTATGCTCTATTCATCTTTGCTGCCATTTTAATCCTTTTAATCTAGTTTCTCATATAGTCGTTTGATTTCTTATTCCAGTTCCTAATTGGCTTATTCGAGCTTTAAGATTTTAAGTTCATTTAATTGATTCTGCTGTTCATTTTCTCTTCTTTGATTCTCAGTATTAGCTCCTCTACCACCATCTATGCCTTGCATTATTCCAATTAAGGAAGATTAGTCGAATAAGTTGTTGTCCATATCATTCATCATATGATTTTACCCATTAATATTTCTATCCATAGCTCTTGAATTATTGACATTTTGAGCTACTTATACTCCTTGTAAGAATGAACCGTCTTCAAAATCAGGTTCTCTTTCAGTGATTGCGTTACTTGGTCTCAATTATGGTTATTCCTATTGCTGCTTTTACATCTCCTCAATATGCTACTCTAGCTATTGAATTTGATATCTTAGATTCTCATTTTCATCTAGTATCTGAAGCATCTTGTCGCTCTGCTGATTCTAGCCTCCATTACTTGAAGAGGTCAAATTTTTAATAATCTCATTTAGCTCGATTATTCGCATTTTCATGACAGTATTATCTTCATTAACATCCTTTAGCTTTAGTTTCAATTGCTGATTTTTATCATTAAGATGTTCAATGTCATCTTCTCTTTCAATCATTTCCAGGTCTACATCTTCGAATCCCTTGCCATTGACAAGTTTGTTCTTGTAAATCATTAACTCTTGGAGCAACTCCTATCTCTCCTCACGAATCTCAATTAGCTTCTCATCTAATTGGTCAAGAATCCTTTGCTAATTCTAATCAATGTTAATCATCGTTTCATCAGTCTCCTATATGTTTTAGGGAATAAAAGACTTTAAGTAATCCAAAGCAGTATCTGAAAGCTTGTCCTATTCTAATATTGAGTACTCATTGGTGTTTATTTTCTAAACTACTAAAATCTTTCTTTCACCAATACTGATAACTTTAACAAGTTTGTATTGCTTATTCAAGGACTGAATTTCTTTGTCTTCTTTAAGTGAAGCTAGCTTGGCTTTCATGAGTTTCTCATTTTGATAAGTTCTAGTTAGGTCTTTGATTTTATTGGAGTAAGTATCCTTCAATTGTTAAAGAATGGACTCTTTAGTCTAAAACAGCTAGGCTCTTAACACTGAAAGATGTTCTTCAATCTAGTTAATTCTTTTAGCATCGATTTCAATTGACTGATCTACCCTACTGTCATTAGGAGTTTACTTCTTATTGCCATCCTACATCTTGTATCCACCTAATCTATAGCCTTGCAATTCATTTTCAGCTTTTTACAATCTCTGTAGCAGTTCAATTTCTCTCAAGGAGTTGTTTTAGGTGCCTCCATTGAAAGCACTCATTCTACTTTGTTAAAGTTCTCTTTTCTCCTACTCCAAGTTATTTATGATCTTTTACTTTTGTATAACTTTCTCCTTATAGTTTTAAAGCTTCCTCTAAGCAATCTCAAGTTACTTTCTGATATCCGAGTCATTCTGGTCTTGTTTTGAGAGAGCTGAGGCTAGTTGATTATGAAGATCTTGGGTCTTTGCTTGAATCTAAGCTAGTTCTTGCTAGTTTTACGTGAGCTACTCTTAAAGATTGGTGTTGTCTTTTTCTTTCACCTCTATTGTATTCTTATTTTGAGCTAGTTGCTTGATCAGAGCTGATTCAAGCAAATCTAAACATTAATCTGGCTCAATATCGTCGTCATTCTAAACTTTTTATGTCTAGCATTCTTTATCTAACAAAGACATCATATTCATGAGTCTTTGCTTCAGATTTACTTTCTCCAAGAGTATTTATTCCAACAATTTATTTGCATCATCAACTAGCTAGTTCTTCATGCTTAAGTCCTCTTCCATTGATGATAACTTTTCTTGCTATGAGCTAATCTTGTCGTTGAATTCTTATTTTAACTTTTAGATTTACTCTTTTAGTACCTTTATCTAGTTATTCAGATCCTACTCTATAGAATCTCTCGCAGATAGTGAGGATTCTTGCTCTGATTAAAGCTATTTAGACTTATCCACAGATTTTTACAGCTCTGTCTTTAACATTTAAATCATATTCCTATTGTTCTCTAAAGTCTTGCTATGATTTTTAATATAGTCTTCCATTTCCTGGCCATCATTCTTCAACTAAGCTACCTCTTCCTCTAACTTATCGTTCTTAGCCTTGTATTGATCATTTGCTTTTTGGTAGTCATTGCATTATTGCTCAAACTAGTCAAGTAATTCCTGCTGGTTTTATTACTCTTGTTCTTTTTACATTAGTTCATTCTAGAGATCTAGCATCTTCTGTGTTAGTTCTTGCTCTTTTGTCTGCTAGTCTTTGTGACTTTATTCGGTTAGTTGTTTTATTTACTATTCTGAAGCAGATAACTTTTTCTATAACTATTCGAGCTGCTTATTTAATTTATCAATCTACTGATCCTATTTTAGAGCTTATTGATCTTTCTATCTTAATTACTTATCATACTCACTATATTAATTATCAGATTCCTACTCTTTCTCCCTTAATTGATTTTGAATTTCCTCTAATTTTTATTAAATTGATGCTTTAATTGTTGCAGCCATTTTGCTTTCATTTTCATGCTCTCTGATTTTTTAGTCTTTTGACTTTAAGCTTTATTCCTTCTCCGTGATAATTTAATCTTTTTAATTCATTTAGTTTTCAAATTGAAGCTACTCTTATCTAAGACTCTCCAGCTCATCATTAAGCTATTCAAGTTAATCTTCCTTTTCCCTGTATTCTTTTTACATTTAATCCTTTTGAACTTTTAGCTATTTCAGCTATTAACTCAAATTACTCTCACTCTAACTTTGCTCTTTTTTAAGTGCTTCATATTGTGACTCAATGCTTAAAACTTGATCATTTAGATCTTAAATCTGCTGATCCTTTGACTGATTCTCATCTTATAGATCCTAAAGACTTTTGCTTAACTGGATGTTCTTTTATTTTAGCTCATTGATATTTTAGTCTTTTTATTTTAAGGTTTGTTTAAGTTACTCATTCTTGGACTGGAGTTGTTATGTAACTTAACTTCCATCGTCTTGTAGCTATCTGATAGTTTCATCTTACTCTTATACTTAAAACTCTAACTTGGAAATCTAATCATCTTTTTAAGCTATTTGCTGATTGAATTAGTCCTTTTGCCTATTTACTGTCTGCATTTATTTTTGTAAATCTTGTTTTACTTGGTCCAATTCAGATTCCTTATCTTACTAAGACTGATATAGCTGAACATTAAGATCGTCTATTTATTGCTGCAAGTCTTGCTAGAGTTATTCAATATGTGACTCATACTCAGTAGAAACCTACTAAACCTATAATTCCTTTTCTTATTATAATTTTAACAATTCTTTCTTAAGGTTTTCAATATTCTTTTCAAGACTTTATATTTTCTGGTTCAAGTTATCTATTTCCAGCTAGTGATCACTCTGTAAATTGTCAATTTCATCTTGGTGCTCCAATCTTATATTTTCGATAGCCTCTTCTTTTGCAATCATTGCTTAATTATGCTAGTCTTTTAATTTCCTAAGTTAAGTCTCATAACCTTATTTCTCTTTTTGAAGTTTCTAGGCTTCCTATTCCTTAGCCTACTTCAAAGATTCTTGAATATCTTAACTTTAAGAATTCAAAATATTTTATCTCTCTTGCTCTAATTATTCTTCAAAATCTTAAGTCAGCTATTTAACCTTTAACTGATGCTTCTCATTAAGTTCGCTAAGTTTTGCATGTATTTCATTTATGCTTTTAGAATATTGCTCTCTTAATCTATCTCTGATTTCTCTATCTTTCTCTTCTGACAAAGTCTAGATTTTAAGATTCAATGTCTCATTATGTTATTGATTCTACCCAGATATTTTTGATTCATATTCATCTTCTAGTTTCTTTAGCTATTTTTCCTGGCTCTGTTTTAACTTAGTCACCATTTATGTGTTATTTTGCTTCAGACGATCTATATTATCTCTGTGTGTTTCATTAGCTTTTTCTAATTACTGCTAAAGTTCCTCTATTTAATCAAGGTCTTTGAGTTATTCCTTTAATTCTTCATTTTCCACTTATAGCTATTTAACTTACTTTTGAGCATTTGCGACTTACTTTTCTAGATCTAAAAAGAGTTAATCATTCAATGGAGATTAAAGTAAAGATATTATACCTTCTATTCGGAGTTGCAGTTTTTATAATTCATTCTTGCTAGCTTTCTTTGCATTGACATCTTAAATTTATGTCAGTTTTTGCTCTAGCTATTCCAGAATGGCCTATTTATCTTAAATGCTGTCTTAAATAATCTTAGCCTTGCTTTTAATTTCCTAGTCGATTCCATTGATTTATTTCTACAGAATAAATATTTATTTTTATCTAACTTACAATTAGCTGCTTCTTGATATCACTAGCTTAAGTGTCTTAATATTTAAGTTTATCTTATAAATTCTATATATCCTCATCTTTATTATTCAGTAGATCTTGAAGCTCATTCAGATTTCGCTTGGTTGATTCAGCACTTTCCTCTAAAAATCCAATAGTCTTTTTATATTCCATGTTTATCTTTTCTACTATTGCCATTTAATCTTAAAGTTGTTAATTCCTCTATTGTAATGACTCATTTTGGACCTGAAGATTATTATAATCTAACTTGCTGAATTCATTTTTAGGAGTAGAGGCTTAGCTTTACTTACCTAATTTTTCTCTAAGCAATTAAATTTCAAGCTATAATTGCTGCAGTTAATTTTGTAGAGTCTCTGTATTTTAGACTTCCTACTCTAATTACTCCTCTATCTATATCTTATCATGCTGGATTAGCTCTTTTTCTTATTCAATTGTTTCAATTTACTTCAACAAAGAATTCCTCTCCTGACTATATTCCTACACTTTCAGCTAAAGTTCATTTATTCTCTATTCATTATTTAGTCTTTAAACTTAGTCATTGAATGTTGGATAGTTTTAATTCTGTAATCTTGGTGATCTTGATAATTAAAGTTACTCTTTATCAATTGAATTAAATATATTCCCTAAACCTTTATTTGGAGGATCGATTGATCTGTGAACATCGATGTTTTGTACTCTTACAATTCTACCATGTATTTCCTGCTAATTTCTTAGTCTAATTGGAATAGGACTTCTTTCAGCAGATTATATCGCAGAAATATGACCAGTAGTGCCTTCCTAGAATATCTATGATACTCCACCTATGGAGTGATTAACGTTATTTATAGTCCTTGGACCATTTAGAGATCTTTGATTTGCTTAGTTTTTCATTTCAGCTGCTTGCTCTCTCTAGGAAATACCATGTGGCACTTTATTTTGATATTTATTGATTTTAAGCTGAATATGAGGATTGCTATCATTACTTATTCTGTCTCCTAGTGAACTAGCTCTATTATTAAATATATTTGCAGTCATATTTATTTCATCTCTAGCTTTGAATGGATCATACCTCTATACTCTTATTGGGGATTCATCTGTGGCCCCAATGTTGACAGTATCCTGCTCAAGCTCTCGCTTTAGAATTTTAAGCAAATGCTCTAGGTCCTTTCTGTTAGATTCAAATTCATTCTTCTCGTTTGATACATTCGACTATTTCTTATGAACAGCCTTCTATAATTTTTTCATTGAGCCTAGGAATCTGTGAGTTTGTTTGACTAACTAACGCATTTTTTCACTTTGCTATTCAATTACCTATTAATATGCTTGATCATTATTGTTTAACTGATTCTCATGCTATTACTAAAGATAATTATCACTCATCTGGTTCAACTCTATTCCAAGTTTCTCGATTTCATTATTCTTTTCGTCTAGAGATCTATTTAGCATCTTTATCTAATTAACTAAGTTTTTATTCTCAAATTCCAATTAGTTAAGTTGATTTTCCAGATCTATTTGTCTCTATGGATAAAACTATAGTAATGAGTCACCTTCTTAGATATTTAGCAATTTGCTTCTATTTTTTGAATTTCCTACATCTTCAGAGCCTCTTTATTACTTTATAAAATTAGATTACTCTCTTTACTTTACTTTTTCCAGTTGCTCAATCAATAGCTAGCTATCATTTTCTAGTCTCTGTATTTCTAATGATTTTATGTCAAGTTGATTCTATAAGTCTTTATTGATGTTCTGAATTTAATGCATTATTCTAGAGCTATCATCCTCAATGTTTGATCTATTATTCCCTTTCTTCAAAGATCTTTATGATGACAAATTCGAAGAGGCAAAGTTATGATTACTATCAGCGATTCTTTCACAGTTTTACTTAAAAATCTTGAGAAAGCTGTCTCTTTCCTAGTCTATTTCCTAGAGCTCTACCATAACTCTATCTACATCCTTCATTTTATCTGTGAGGCCTCCCAGATACTACTTCAAGGTAGCTACCTAAGCCACAATACTACCCTCGTTTTATTTATTGCCGAAATCATTTTAGGTCGAGCTCATGCTTTTAACTTCATTGTTAAATGTCTTGTCAATTGATGAAATTTTGGAAGTATCTTTTCTATCAGAATTCACACTCTTATCAGATAATTAGCCAAGCATTCTGTTTTCTTAAGTTGTATAGTTCAAGTTATTGACGAGCATCATGATCTTTTTGACATCAAGCTTTGTTGTATCGTGCTTATTCTTCAATTCAAAGAGATACTTCTTGAAATTCTATTGAGAGTATTCATTATTGATCTCGAACTCCGATATCTCCTTCATATATTGATCATGAATTTACTTCTTGGAATCATTCAAATTTTAGAGAGAGATAGTATCATTAGACTAGCTATGTTTACTGCCTAGAATCTTTTTTATGATATTATTAATTTATCTTTTATATTTTTCAAAGATACCTATGATCTCACTATCAGTGAAAGATTAGAAACTTGAGTTGTAGTATTTTATTATGTCTTGTTCAAGTTGATTCAGAACTTAAGAGATATTTTTTTATAGGTAATTAACCTGCTCTTATTAATCTTTGCCTCTAGTCTACTCACTTAAACTCCTAAGCTCTTAAATTTCTCTATCCTAGTTATTGAGTTTATTTCGTAGTTGAGATTCCTGGGATTATAGCTGATTTTAAATTTAGAGCATATTTTATAATTCCTATTCAAGATCTTATTTATCTTGGAGTAATTCATTTATAATAACTCTCTCTGCTATTAATTGATTAGCGTTATTCAAATCACCTAAATTATCTGTCCTGAACGGGGAAACACTCTTCCTTTCCCTTTAGTTGTCGTTAGCCTAGACAATACGATTATTAAGTCTATCCGTGTAATTTATCTGAGATTTGTCTTACTTTTAGTGCACCAACTCTTTCTTATAGTGGTTTGCCAGGTCTATGTACTTATTCTCCAAGTTTTTCATTTTATTGTGGAGATTTACTACAATTTACTCCAGTTCAACATTTAAACTGCCTACCTCACTTGGAGCCATTTCACTTGTCATATGCTCCTCAAGCATGTCACTCTTAGCAATAGACTAAAATTGCTACTTGTCACTACTCTCGGCCCTTGGGTTGTAGAAATCATGAGATTAAATATATTATACTGGTGTATTGTTGTTACTGAAACCAGCTCCAAATAATGCATTTGTATTAGATCTACTAGTATTATCATTTCTTACACTATTAGGGTTTTAAATTGAGGTAGTATTTTCATAATTTGATCTTCCAGTGGAATTAGTTAAGTTACCCTCTTTTTTTGGATAAATCTACATTGATTTCAGAGTTTAAATTGTCTAAGGACTTTTATGACTGTTGTGTTGAGTCGAAATAGAATTTTGATCTTAAAACTGATTATTACTGGCTTAAGTAAAGTTCTGGTACTTTGTAGGAATGCTGTAAGATTTATTCTATCTCCATGATTAGGCCTGCATAGTATTATTACTGTTGGCTATTGGATTTGCTTTAGGCAGAATCTTAAGCTTTATTCCCTAGTTTAGCTGCTGCTATTTTATTATTGCATGCTATAAGTTTTACATCTTGTTGCGGGTTCTATCCTCCACGTTGGCATGTCTTTCAATGGCCAGAGAAATTTAAGGAGATTTATTTGCCGCAACTGAGTAATCTGCCTGATACTTATTAAATTAAGAGACTGATAGCCCAGCATCTCTATTTTAGTTTTATTTAGATATATCCTTGTCCGGCTACGATCTCTATACTTGACTTGGTGGTTGATATTCCTTAGACATAGAGGATGATCTTTATGGATTGAAATATGAAAATGAAGTTTGCCCATTCTAATTTTGATTATTATTGATATTGTATCTAGATTAATGATTTTTTTCTCTATCACCATACAAGGCTTGATTTTAAGACTAATTGTGTGATTTATTGTCGAAAGTTTAATTCATTCCAAGATCTTAGCTTCTTGAAAAATTTCTGAAATCATTTTGCTGATTTTGCTAGTATATCTATGTGTTTGGGTTCATTCCTCTTCCAGAACCCAAGGAATTTTAAGACATTTGCAGATTTTAACTGTCATGGAATGGCTTTTGCTCATCAGTCGTGTTTCGTCTTTGCTGGATTCCCATGCTATATTATGACTTTAAGCTACTAGAAAGCGGTGCTTTCATATTTTTTTAAATATTAGTAATAATAGTTAAATGCAATATTTTGTATGAATAATATATGAATTTTACTGTCTAATTAATCCTACCAAATAACGGGGTTTTGGGGTTTTGGGG